AGAACTACAAGTAAGGATTCATATGTATGAAGAAAACAGCAGGCAACACAGGGAAAGAGCCGACTCTAAATTATTTCTATTTCTTTTTGAAAATCAAATGTCAAAACCACTGAGGCACACTGGCATGGCAAATCTGAACTAATTTAGATACTACCCACAAAAGATTAAAAGAAGCTTTGAGGGCTATATAAATAGCCTCAAAATTGATAAATTCAGATTTATCCAGACAAAATAATAATAATAGGAATGCTGAAATTTACTCCAATAGTTTAGCCTATCAGAACTAAAGACTACTGGGATCTGAAATTCTCAAGGTCTGAGCAGGCTCAGCAAGTGAGGTACCATTTCTTTACACAACTATAGAAGCTCTTTAGTACTTCTTAATAAATGTCAGATTTTAATTTTTTTACTGAGATGTATGGTGCTCTGGCTGCAGGTAGAGGCAAATAATGGACCAAAACACATTCTATATAATACTGCTGCATAACTTGTAGTCAATGAGTGTTTCAGGTGACTCACACTAGGTTTAATAAAACTCTCCTTTCTGCACACTTTCAGGACTATCCTCTAAAAAGTGAGATTTCAGTCGTGAGGCAAACTGAAAAGTGCACACGAAGATATGAAACAGCTAAATTAAGTCTGCTTCTATAAAATTCTACAATCTAGTTAGTGTGATGTATTTATTGCATTAAATACTCTCTACCAGTCTTTCAATACCTATTGGGGCAAGAATATCAACTGCAGCAAGCATTCGTATGCACCCTACTATATACTGCATGTATCTCAGAAACAAGGCCTAATTTTTAAAGAAGCATTGACACCTATTAATTATCTATTGCTTTAGCCAATTAAATACATGTTCCGTTTTATGTTTTTCAGAAAGAAAAAAAGCACACAATTTAGTCTTGGGTCTAACGCAGTAAGACAGTGAAATCCTGCATAAAAGGAAATAACTTACCACTCATTTTATATCCAGCATACTTGTATACAATTTCTGCTTGAAAACTCAATATTCCATCCATCTGAATACCTCAGAAACCAGTAGTACATACTGATTCCCCACAGTGCTAATAATATAATTACAAGCAATGACAGATGCTATTAATTCTTGATATTGTTCCTTTGCAACAGTTTTCTAGATTTAGGATTATGATCAGAAACCCAGTTCTGAACAACAGAGAATGAGGAAAAATGTTCTTCCATTAGTATATTAATCTATAGACATCCAACTGACATTTATCAGAAAGTCACCAGACACTGGTCCTTCTTCAGCCGTCCTTACTGAAAACAAAGCTCAGGGAAAAGATAAGGCAGCTGACATAAACTGAGGTTTCAAAGAAAGCTATTTTAATAGAGAATTCCCACAGCAAGGACAAGAATTATGCATTTTCTTTAAGTTGGGTGTTAGACTGTTTTTCCTTGTGATTACCCAGTATTCACTAGAGTCAGGTATTCCATGAAAAAAAATGAAACGGTAAACATGTAGTATTGTATTTCACATTCTACATATTACACCCTTGGAACATGCACTGTGATGTAAAATAAACTGAATCACGTGACTTAGTGTTCATCCTACACAAACAAAAAAATTGATAAATAATATAAAAATATTTGACATGATCATGTGTTTCCCTAGTCACATATTATCCTGAATTTTATATGGAGTCACATTAAGGCTACGAAAATGATTGTGCAGTATTACTCCAGACGTTTGTGTTTCTTCCTCTTTTCCTGTAGTAAGAAATTCCTTTCAACTGTCAGCTTTCATAAAAGCAACTAATGTTCTTTTATTTAAATGGTATTACAAAGCAAATGAAATATAAAATCCTGTTGCCTCAACTCCCCCACATTAAAAACCAACAGAGATCAATAAGAAATAATTTCATCAATCTTGAAAACAACATATTGTATTCTATCTTCTTTCATTTAACAGGAAATATTAAAGCAATTATAGTAAGAATCACAAATTATACTGTGCACATCTATGCATATATGATTATATATTAATATGCATGCATATGCACACATGTGCAATTCTAAATAGATACAACACACATATATTTGGCTGAGTACCAGACCTAGCTTACTCACATGTGCTAGCAAATATGTTGTTCTACACATTTCAAATATACAGAGCTTTCACGCCCAGGAGTGTAATAGGGAAAATGTGTACCTCTTAGCTTTCAGCATGTTATATTCAAAATTACAAAGAGAAAATGCCATTTTCTCTATAAATAAGATGCAGATCTTTTTGTAAAGAAATACCAGTTTAGGTCCATTATCTTACGTGTATTCATCAGTTTCTCAGTTGCTAAATGGTGTTAAAAAGGACCAAAGTATAAGTAATTTATACTCATTACAAATAACAGTATCAAAATATTAAACAATAGCAGCAAAGAACAGAAGCTTCCCTGAATACCTTTTATAAATCACATTTAATATATTATGGCATTAAACAGCTATTTACAACTATAAGCAGGGCATGAACTAGTTAAACAAAAACTGTGTTTCCAAGGGTCATGATAAGGGCATAATGATTTTGTTCTCATTCCAATAGAAATTAAGTATTTGTAACAATTCTTAACAGGGAGAAATAGCACACAAAAGTAGCCTTCACCTAAATCCCACTTTGCTATAGCTTTTCTATTCATTAAAGTTAAATATTTAAATAGTCTATTGTTTAAAACAAAGAAGACAAAGGAAATCTTCTAAAATTAATTATGAGATTATACATACGCATATTCATTACCTAAAGGTTTCTACTAACCCTTTTATCTCAGAAAATTCAAAGGAAAAAAAAGATTAACTCATTGAATTCTTACTTCCTCAAAAAGCAAGTTGCTGGGAAGAACAAGAGAAACTAAAACAAAACACCAGTAATTTTTAGACAATAGACTAACTAATATGTTTTCAGTCTTTCGAAGGTTTAGGTGGGTTTTTTTTTAGTTAACCCATCATTCAATGCTGCAGTCATTGCCTGTTCTAGGACACAATCATTCTAAACTGTCTTTTACTCTGAAAGCAAGCCTTTTGGAGTTCTCAAAGAGAGTAAACGGGAATTTATTTCTCTAAAACCTGTTCTTAAAATATATATTAAAAGATTTCACATTATATAATAAGGCTGTATTGGTAAAGAAGGCCCTGTTAAAATTGAAATATATTGCTGTTCCACTTTAACATAATTCATCGCAGTAAAAATCAAAGCATAAAGTTGCATTTTGTTTTTGCATTAACATAACTAAAAGAAGCATGTTGCCTGACGTTTTTGATCTAAGAAATTCAAACACCAAACCATTAAGAAAAATTAATTCTCCAGAAACATAAATGAACAAAAAGTGGGGATATTAACAAATACTTATCTAACCCAAAATACTGTATTATCTAAAGATGTGAGAAACACAAAAAAGCTAATAAACATAAAAATGAAAATAACAATACCAAAAAAGTAAGAGCTATATAATACTATGCAGGATAGGTATGATGTTATGACTCAATCAGTCAAAATGCAGAAATCTTACAAAAGCAGCACATATTTTCATAAGACATCCTACAACAATTTTGCTTGCTCTAATGTTGCTTGACCAAATGTTTTAAATATTTATTCTTGCTCCCTTAATTTAAAAAAAAAAACACCCCACAACAACGTTTAAAGTTGATAAACAAAGCAGGTACACATCAATCTAAAATTAAAGAAAGATACAAATGACCACCAACACTTAAATTTTTTTTAAGATGACTGAATTTAATATAATAGCCATTGGTTTGCTGAATCTCTGTTAAGATCAGCTTTCTAAAGATGACTGCCAATTATTTCAGATCCTTCTAACAACATGTAACCTTGTATCTGTGAGCAAAAGTGCTCAGCTATTATTTGTGGCAAGAATTTTTGTGACTGTACTGCTCAGCAATTCTATTTACATCAGCAATGCTAAATGCCCAATGGTGAGAGAGGAGCCAATCAGATGGCAGATTAGATGTCAACTCAGAGGCAGCTGTCTGGAGACTATTACAGCCAGTTTACCTCCACAATTCAAATTCCAAACCTTGCAAAGGAGATCAAGTCACTCTTTAGGCTCAGACTGCCGAGCAAGAAACATCAAGAGTGCTGAGCTCTTTCCTATGCATTTAAAGGTGACTAAACAAGACAACTTATAGAAACACTGCCCAGTCACCGTACAATACCTCCTGATCTGCTAATTCACAGAATATATAAACTGATCCAAAACTGTATGCAATCTCACTCAACCACTGACTAGATAGTTTAATGCTGAGGCCTTTTTTAATCATGAAAACACCTCTCACTCTATGTAACAGAAGCCTTATTAAGAGGGGAAAAATACGATTTCACAATTTATTTCGAACAATGACATTTTAACATGACTTTAAACTGTTTTTATGCGTGTTACAAAGCCTTGAGAAACATGTGACAAGAGAAAGACATCTGAAGAAGGATGAGAAGCTGTTTAAAAAATCGGTAGAGTACACACCTACAAGGAGACTTACAGTTTCTGCTGGATTTCAGCATACAACTGCATCCAAAAGCAACACGAATTGCTAACAACCTGAAAGGTCTATTTCCTTATTAAGAGACATAATCAGGGCACAGCACGGCAATGTTATAACCAGCAGAGCCTGCAAAATGACACGGGTTCCTCCCTTTCCTACTCCGAAGGGGTGTTCCTATGGGCCTTCTGTGTTCAGATTTCTAATAAGTCTAAGAGTAGGAACACTGGGTGGTGTAGAGTGGGTCTCATGTATTGTTCAACTGTATATCAACACCAGGGTCTTATTTTTTCAGCTGGAAATTCATTCCCCCGTGATATCTCTCGGTAACCTAATCAGAGTCAGACACTGTGCATTATTCAGCCCTGTTAGGGAGAGGCAGCAAGGAGTTGAGAGGGAGCAGGGGGAAAAGTAAATGGGAAAGAAAGTAAGGATTACATGGAGGAACACATACACACATAAAGTGAAAGGGCACATCCAGAGTTCGTGGTGGTTACCTGGCTCCTGCTGATGGGCTGTCCTGTGTTTCCAGGGCTCATAGCTGGATGGCTCCTTTGTTGTGCTGCTGCCCAGGCTGGGTTTGCAGCTCCATACTGGGAACCCACGTCCTTGCCCATGACCATGCCTGCTGCTGCTGCTGCCTGCTGACTTCCTGGGGCGGTTGCTGCTGCTGCTGCTGCTCCGGCTCCTGCTCCTACTCCCTGAGTCTGCTGTTGCGATGGGGCAGCCCCGGGGTTGGTATAATCGGCGTAACCCGTGCCATAGCTCCTCATCATGGGGCTGGGGGAAGTCAGGAGCTGGTTCAAGGTTGGGGTGGCCCCGGACGGGTGTTGGTTTTGCCCCGAGAACCTTTGGAAGCCCGCCGCCCCAGACGCCTTGCCCAGGCTGCCCCCTCCGCCGGGGCCCAGCATCATGCTCTGCTGGTGCTGCCTGGGGGAGCCCAGCACCCCAAAGGCGGAAGACGGTCCCCCATAGCCGCCACCACCGCCTGCTGCAGCCGCCGCCGCCGCCGCTGCCAGTGCCGCCGCCGCCAGGCCGGCCGTAAGCGCCCGAGTAGTGATTGTACTGGCTGTTGGCGTAGCCTTCGTGCGAGTTGGGTAGGGGGTCCATGCTGTTGGGGGCCGCCGCGGGGTGCATTAGCCCCATCCCGGGGCTTTGTTGTCCGCCATGTTGATCAAAGCAAGGCCCGGCCCGGCTCGCTAAGGAGGCGCCTCCGCTGCTGCTGCCGCCGCCGCCGCCGCTGCCAGCGTTGCCGTAATAGCTATTAACCTCCGAGACACCCACCGCTGAGGGGCCGCCGCCGCCGCCCCCTCCTCCTCCTCCTCCGCTGCCCGCTCCCTGAGGTGGCGGCTGCTGTTGTTGCTGAGGCGGCGGCGGCGGCTGTCCGCCCAAAGGTCCCAACCTGGGGTGGTCGTAGCGGCTGCTGAGGTGCTGCTCCCCCATTTTGTCCGCCGGCGGCGGCGTCGCTGCTTCCTCGTCCCCGCCTTTATTCGGCAGGGGCTGAGGCGGCGGCTGGCTCTGGGGCTCGGCCCGTCCCCCCAAGCCACTGTCTTTTCCTCCATGTTGCTGCTGCTGCTGCTCCATGTCTGCGCTGTTGGGCTGAGCAGCGCCGCCGCCGCCGTTGTTGTTGCTGCTGCTGCTGCTACCGCCGCCGCCGTTGTTGTTGTTATTCTGCATCGGATGGGGCTGAGGCGGAGGCGGCTGAGGCTGGAACTGATTTAGCTGTGGATGTTGCTGAAGTGCGTGGTGGTGGTGGTGGTGGTGGTGGTGAGGACGGTGGTGAGCATGGGGGTGCTGGGCATGGAGGTGAGCTGGGTGCGGGTGATGGTGCTGGGCATGGGGGTGGTGGGAAGGTGCGGCGGTCGGGTGCTCGCCTCCAACGCTTTTCAACTTGTGGTTGGAGAGCAGCCCCGTCTCCATCGTCGGAGCAGAAAAAGAAGTGGAAGATAAACCCGACGAGCTCCCCGCTTCTTTCGAAGCCGATTCCGAGGAAAAGCTGCCGCCGCTGCTGTTACTGGTGGTGGTAGCGTTGTTGTTATGACCGCCGGCGGCGGCGGCAGCAGCAGCAGCAGAAGTTGCATTATGGGCCATGTTCAGTTCATTATGGTGATGGAGATGGTGTTCTACATTATTCAAGCTGCTGCTGCTCTTGTTAGTCCCATCTACGACCCCTAAGAGAGCCCCCGATCCAGCAGTTCCTACGGTGCCAGAGCTAAGATCCTGGCTTAAGTTGCTCGGCAAACTCGGGGTTTTGCCCTTGTTCTTCTTGTTCGCACCCGCCGGAGCCGCTGCTATTTGCGCGGCCATGATCATTGCAACATTGCAAGAGTTGGGTGGGAATCAATTAACAACCACCACCACCCCGACGGCCTGGAAAAATAGGACAAAACAAATGTGGGGGGGAAAGGAGAGGAGCAAAGGGGGGAAATAGCCGAAAAGACCCCCCGTAAAGGAAACTAGATTTGATTACACACATAGACACACAAAAATCCTGCTGATTATTCCTGACGCGCGCGCGCATAAGACGATTTTTTTTAATGACCGAAACTCCCCTCCCCAAGTCCTTGATGGAGATTAAAAATTGTAAGAATGCCTTACGGTCTGTGCCTGTTCCTGCTGTGTGATTTCATGCTGAAAGTTTTTTTTTCCCCAGGTTTAAATGAAACTTTTTTTTTCTTTTCCTCTCTAACCCGGATATGGGTAAATACACGTCTGGCTGAGCCTATCTGGCCCAGCATGGCATGCGGGGAGGGAGGGGGAGAGGCAAAGAGAAGGAGAGCGAGCACTAACAACTATTATCCACTTCTCTCTGATTACTCCGGGGCACATGGAAAACGCGGACTGGATTTCTCTTCCGCCTTTTGTGGCAGCTGGGCTGGCGAGGGTACACACAGAAGGAAAGAGACACGCACTTCACAGCCGCTCTTCGGCAGTTGGCACCCAGGGCTGTAAAAGGAGGGACGGGTGCTTGCCTCCCTCTTTTGTTGTATTCCCCCCCCCCTTAATCTTGTAAAAGCGAGAATTATGATTAAATCAAAGCTAGCTCCCTGCCAATTATGTTGATACCTTCTAGAACCCATTATTTGCGGAGTTTTAACTCTGTCTCTGAATTCTCACCCCCAATCGCCCTAGCAAAAGCATCAGTTTCTACTGCCTTTTAGCACAAATTTGTAAAAATCACCTGAAAACTGTAATGATAATTTATAACATTCAGTATAAGATCACATTCTCATATAGAGCCATAAAAGGCAACACGATACGTTTACAAAATATGTGATGACCTTTCTGTGATGTGAAAATATGTTTCTGTATATAAATACAGCAGCCAGTAGCACTAAACAAAGGTCTGCTTTTTTTTATTTGCTTCCTATGCAAAGGCACATCCAGCCTCCTTTTACATCTATCAAGGTGCTGGATAATTGTGAACATATATAAATCAGCCAGGTAGCATTTGCACACTACCTAAAACCATGAAAAGGGAACAAGGACTTGTATAGTCTTTGGCAAAAATTGAAATGCTGTAGACCAGTGGTCAGGGAATGGGTAAATTACCCCAAATGGGGTAAAAATTAAAATCCTGGGGATAATGAGGATGGTTGTGGCAGCGTGACCCTCCTCATTAGCCTCAGACATTTTATTTCCGTCCATACTGTGTGTAGGCGGGCATTCCTTCACAGGGAGAGCGAGCACTGGCAAGGAGGCCTCCTTCCCGCCTCGCCTCACTGGAGCTCATGGCCAGTGGACCTGCCGGCCCTGCAGTGCCCACCTCCCTTCACCAAGGACGTGCTTTCCTGGCAGCATGGCAGCCACAGATCCCGGGAGAGCGCAGAGGCGGGGGGGGTCGGCCGCAGACGGC